GAAGAACATTGCTGGTACAAAAGTCACAAGACTAGGAATGTGGAGCTATGAAATGAAATGAGCAGAAAAAAGAAGGAGAGTTTTCCGTCGAAAAGGAATCTTATTTGTTAGGAGCTGCCAAATCCAATACCCCAATGGAGGCCAGGCTGCCACAGCCTACTCCAGCAAGTAGCAAGACTGAATTCCTAATAGAAGTGCACATACACACACATTCATATAAAATAATTTAGGTTGGGAAAGAGCTTTAAGGTTATCAAATCCAACAGTAAAAAATGTATGCACAAGCACAGCCAGCTGCACAGGTCACCACAGGCACACACAGTCAGCACTAGCCAGGCCAGCACTAACAACCCCATCCTGTTACATTTCTGGCTGATCAGGATGAAAGCCCATTAAAGTATAAGTCCCTCAGGCAGCTGGCCAATGACAAATACCCTACCCTGGACCCTCAGACTTCCCAGTTATAGGTGCCTGGACATGTGAGCCTGAGGATGCAGCCCCACTCCACATGCAGGTGCTCAGACCTACACACACAGATACCCACACTATGGACCTGCTCAGCACCTGGTCTTGGGCACTGTAGGGCCCAGAACTCACTTGAGGAGTCTCTTAAACAAGCTTACTTTTTGTTAATGTATCTTGAGTCAGAAGGAAGGGAGAAATATCAAAAATATATTCCTCAAGAGAAAACAACAGAACTTTTACTGGAAATCAGAAAATCAGGGAACTTCGGCAAAAGTTTGAAGCAATGTTCAATCAACATAAATAATTTCATAAAGGGTTAACTTAGATCATTCATCTTAAGCATAATCCAAGCCCATCCGATTTTAAGTTACTCAGAATTCGAGAAATTAGAAGAGAGAGTGATATAGAAAAGAACAAATATTCCCACCATTCCTGGTTTCATTACTGTTTCAGATTATATAAATTCTAAGAGCTAGTGCAGTCAAGACACATGCTCACATCTCATGCTTTGTTTCAGTACCCTTTGGCCTTCCTGGGCCCTTCCCCAGGTGGGACTTTCAGTCATCTAACCCCCCAGGAGCTGGGCTGCAGGGGCAGGTGTGGAGCATGGCCTCTGCTGTGCCAGGGATTTACAACCCCTGCAAGGTTGGAATACAGGCCCCAGGGAGCAGGGGGGGCATTTAGGGCCACACCAAAGGCAAGACCCATCCTTCCCCTTCTTTCACACATGCACACAAAATGTTTTGAGACAGTCATTTCCTCCAGTCTCCCACAGACACCCAACAGATTATGTAGCTGGCCCTTGGGTCCTCCATTCCCTCAGCTGCCTTGCACAGAGAAACAGAAATATCCCTGGTAGCTGACCCAGATTCATAAACTTACCAGCAGCCATCCCCCAAAGATCATGGACTCTCCAGTTACTGGTCTGAACCTCCTTGCTCCTCCAGTAGTGGACTCAAGACTCTTTAATCCCTCCACCTTCTGGCCTAGACTTGTGGTACCTGCAACACTGGACTCCAAAACCTCCTTCCCCATTTGCTAGTTAGTCTAGCTGGATGTAGGCTGTGATCACACCCTGGAGTGCCTGCCCACACACCATGCATGAACGCTGGAGCCTCCAGGGGCTGGCACTCAGGGCTGTGACCAGCAGCCCCACTCCCATTGCTGGCACTTGGACATCCATACACACACAGAACAGAGCCCTGTTACCAGAATATCAGCTACAAATGACACTAAATGAGAAGACATAACAGTGTGGAGGGATCGGTGCAGAACGCAAACACACAGGTGTATTGACTGGCAATCTGCTTAAATACAATTTTATCTTCTTTTTCCCTTTCTTTTTCCCTTACATTTCCTTTTCAAACCATCTTTATCCCTCCCTTTTCCACCTTTAATGCTTCCCCTAAATACCCTATAAGAAATCTCCTACAGTTCCAAGATGGTTTTTCCCACACCCCATAGTCAGTGCCATACCTCTATCCAAAGACTGCTAACACTCTCCATCCAAAAGACAACCCAGAGAGGTTTTCTGATAACTCCTCTTCGTGGGTATCACCCTGGGCCTTGGGACTGAGGCTCCCCGGGAACAGCCCTGGGAGCTGGAGGTGGAGCAGGGCCTGTGCAATTGGGATTTCCCTGCCAGCTGTGCTCCTCTGTGCTCTTGGTGATGAGCTTTTAATCACCTGTCCCAATGCTCACATCAATGGTCTAGCTTGATATTAAAACTAGATGCACCAAAGGCATCTGCAAATTACCCAAATTCAGACAGCATTATCTATATTTCAAAATTTTGTTTGGACGACACAGGGTTTTCTTCTGTTGGATTTTAGGGTGACTTCATCACATTATCTCAGCTGTTGATGTTCACCTGTAAGGTGAAGCTTCACAGTTTTTCCTAAATAATTCAGATATGAACAGTACCAAACTATGGTCTAAATCCAGTAGATCCTATTCCAGTTTGTATTAAAAGATCATTTTTCAAGCAGTACCTTCTGTTTCAAATTAATTAAATGTGAATTAATTTGGTCAATTACATTTGATTAATTATGTGGCATGTGATTGATGAAGTAATCATTTTAACAGTGTATGTTACAAAATAATGAAATAATTGGTAATTGTGGTCTATTAGAAGCTTGTAGGAATTAGAAATTGTAGGAATAGGACCACTCAATCTAGAAGTTTGACATGATCAGCTCACAAAAGAGGGTAAGACTTATAGTACAATTTCTCTCTTAAGGAATATAAATAAAATCACATACTTCATTACTTTTTATAGAAAAATTCTATACTCAATGCTTACACAGCTTTATGCTTACAGAGAAAACACATTATTGAAAATATTTGTTAATTAATTTTAGCTTACAGTAGAATATGTACAGAAATCTTTAAAAAGAAGTTGCAAGGGATTAGGAGGCAGGCAGGCATAATTTCAGTAGGGGACTTTTTACAATGTTAGTCACCCTTTAGGATGAATTTATTGAATGAACTTGGAAATAGGAATACTAGTGTAACAAAGAAAACAGGTTAGGTTACAGTAACTGTTTCTGTTCTTGAAATTAATGAAGTCTAGATCTTGAAAACTTGGGGGGAAAACATACACTGTCTCATCTAGCCTACGTACTGGTGTAGAAGGAAAAAAAAGGTGATATTCCTTTTAACTGAATCTTTTTAAGGGACTGGAAGAAAACGAAAGGTTCTGTAGAAACAGTGTTTGCTTTTCATACAGACAAGTGGGAAGAGCAAAAGTAAGGGCACATCAGCATGTACTGCCTGAGGCAATGGCCTGTTTCAGGTTTTCCTCTGTCCTTAGCAATCACTTTTTGGCATCTATGAAATTCCATTCTCCTTCCTAATCTTCAGCAAAACCAGGACAATCATTAAACCTTTATTCTGGCATAGGGCACAAACAGCTCTCTATGCTTTAAATAATATATGAAATCCTGCTTTGGAGAATAGTTAGAAATACTTGCTACTGTATAATTCTAAAATTCTGAAAATGATCCTCAAGTTTGAATTTTTTGTTCTGGACCTTGCTAGCATTATATTCCGCAATGTTTGTCTGAACTATATTTCTATATTCCTATGTCAATATGAGGATTGTCACAAAGCAGTAATACAAATGAGGCACCTAAAAAGATTTTTAAAGATTTTTAAATACTGAAATATTTATGTGAAGAGGGAAAGATCAACTGGGGATCAACTGCCTTGGGAAGCAGTGAAACTTCAAAGAAATTGGTGGGTATAGCCCAAGGTATTTCACAGGTTTAAAACCTCATAAAATATGCGAATTCAAGGTATCTGCTTTAGGTGATTAGATTACTAAAATTAAACACTCCTTTCTATCTGAACAACAGTCCTTAAAGTACAGATATATATGTCCCATATTGCAGTGTGCATTCAGCTATCCATGAGATAACTGAGGGTAAGGGAGTTAGGGAGGGAAGTCAAAACAGACAAAGTACCAACTAAAATAATGGCACTAATTTTATTTTTATTGATACAAAATAATGCTAATTTTTCCAGAGGCCCAGTGATATCTTCCTAAAAGACAAAATGTCAGCCTTAGCTAATTCAGTGACCACGTCACTGCCATGAGAGATTCCTTGCAGGCAGAGTGCTACATTTCAGTTTTCTGCCTCACAATGGCACAGTTAAAGGTATTTCTGACAGAGTTCACTAAAATGCCAGTCAACCAGCAGAAAAGCAGGACTTTTTATTGTACTGTAAATGTGAATGGTACATTTTCACCTTAATCCCTTCACTTGGGTAACCAAAATGATATTTAATTACCTATTGAGAAGCAGGGTCCTAATTAGAGCTGTGCAGAGCTATTCACACATTGAACCTGAGTGAACAAGCCTCTCACTGTTTTCAAGTTTATTGCCATTAGCCCAGTGGGTTTGCTCTTCACCACAAGACTTAGTTCAACCATTATGCTCCAGAGAAAGAAAAACCCTGAGAACACAAACACTGATATTACTGCACTCTACCAGGAGCCCATTGAGCCTTTCTATCCTTTTGAATAAGCTATTAAAAGACAAAGTAAAAAAAACTGTAGTAGATCCGACCAGTGGGGAAGTACCGAGGCAATTTTACCAAAAAAAAGAGTATTACTGAAAGAATGGAGAAAAATTAGGGAAAAAAAATGTTGAAGCAATTTAAGATAATAGGATGCTAATTAAAGAGAAATTATAGTGGAGATTTTATAATACTTCTAACACTGGCAGTAATGTTGACTGCATCTGGGCTGGAAACAAGCACAAGGAGCTAAGGCATTACTGGCAATTGGGAACCAGACACTGCCACTCTCAGGGAACAGGGTTTCTCTGTGAGCAGATTACACTCAGGGCAAGTAACGAATTCTACCCCAGGTGCTGCTCAGAGGGATTGCTCTGCCACTGTCATGCACCAAGCAGTTAGGAACAAAATATACAGTCAGCATTCTCTCTCACAGGAGTATCAGGTGTGTCACCGAAGAGTGAGGCCTCAGTCTGAATGGATGTTTCCAGGCTCTGATTCTTAAATATACTCACCTTAAACTGCACAGTTCAGTTTTAGACAGCTGTGGCAACTTCTGAAATGCCCTAGAAAGGTTGATTCCTGTATGGGTAAATTATACATCAAAATCAGCATGAATAGCAGTATCATAATATATTAAAAATATTAATTTTGATGTAAAATAGTCCAATTTACATGAGATCATGCATTATAAACATGGAAGTAATGGCAAATGTTAAAATATCTGTTGAATATGTTTAAACTACTCATTTGAACCACTTTACTGACCTTTGGGAAAGGTCCAAAGCTTCAAAGAAAGCAAGGATAATTTATCTCTGGTTTGGTGTGGTTAAAATAAAAACATTTTAAAATTACATTGATGTTTTATTTTCATTAAAATAAATAAAAGGTTTTGTGGTGAGAATGTTAGAGAACTTTTTGCCTGAAGAAAAGTATTTTGATCAGGTTAAACATCTGCCAAAAAATGGGGCTTATGAAATTAAGATTGAAAGTACTGAGTTTGCTGACATAACTTTAACAGTCAGAATAACACATGACCACAGTAAGGTAAACATTGCCAAATACAATGCCTAATCAAATATTGCACTATACATTAGAAAAGAAGATAAAATCTTATTCATTGCAATTTAAAATATACTGATGTAGCACACTCAGTAAAAAAAAAAAAACAAACAAATCCAAATCTAAACCAAAACATAAGAAACTAAGAAATTTGTACAGCTGCAGAATTATGCATTTTAAAATTATGCTCTTCTTGGCCCACATTTGTCTTTCCCAGGACATGGTTCTAGAAGACCAGTGGCCAAACACTGTGATAAACCGAAACTGAATACAGAAAGGAGAGAAAGGCATATTACAAATCCTGTAATTATTTTTTCCCAGAGGTATATTCTCTCCTGAGTTTCTGCTTATTCCAGTGCTTCCAGGGTTGGAGTCAGCTGCCTCTCTCTGCAACAGAAAAGACATAATGACTTCTGCTTCCCAAAAAGGACTCAAAGTAAATGAACATACAAAATACCCAGCAATCTGTACAATCCACATGTGATTTCCTGAAGGACTAAGAGGCATGAAAGTCAAGGTTACATTTTAATTTTGTTCTGACTCATTCTATTCTTAGTTTTCTATTATTACCTCTTCTTGAAAGAAAATGTGCCCACATGTGGAACAGTCTGAAATAGGAACATCAATCCTAGAACACTTCTTGCCAGTACTGCCACCTAAGACCATTTGCAAGGAAAAATCATTACTTAGAGGTCTTTTGGAAGGTCCTGACCTCGGCTACCTTAAAGTGCAGACAGCACATTGCTTCAGGAACGTGCTTCTGCTTGTACCCATAATAAAAGGGTATTTCAGAAAGACAAGCAAGTTTCCCCTATCCCTCTGGATTACTTCACCATGCCACTTATTTAGATGCACCTGCTACTGTTTCATTGAATCCTATGTGGTATAAAAGAGACTCCAATAATCTGACAGCAGAGTGGTGGAACAGAAGACATCAGTGTGATAAAGATCATGGAGACAGATGATTTGGAGATTAATATTTCCAACAACTAATAAAGTATATAGGTGTCATGACATCTGGCATTACACAAAGGAGGGAGCAAAAAAAGGTTTATAGGGGCTGTGAAAGGAAGAGGAAGATCTTCGAGTGCACACAGGGGAGGAGATTTCAAAATACCCTAGATCTGTAATAAAATCTCAGAAGTGAAGAGAGAGGAAAAGAAATCAAACACAAAAGCCCATTTTCTGCCTAAATTTAGGCAGAGGTGAATCACAGTTTTGAGAGGGTCAATTAAGAGATCAGCCCTTGGGGTGCTACTACACAGGTGTCCCAGTATGGGAGTATGTAGAGAGAACTATTTGTTAAAATACAGCCAAAACACAATGAAAATGTCATCCTGGAAAGCTGCTGAGCTAAACCACAGAGGTTTGTTACTGATATAGAGATGCAATCTCCTTAGGAATGACAGGTACAGGAAAAAGAGAGAAAGGTGTAACATATATTAAAGGTGTATTTTTCACAAGTTCATAGAAAGGAGAGAATTTTGCTGGATTATTTTTGTTTTATAGAAGGACCATAACTACAAAGAAATCACATAGTCCACATAAGCTAGAAGACAAAATGGTTAACTTTTTTTTTTTTTTAATCAAAGCCTTGTAACAAAAGGAGATTGTAACTTTTCAAAGATACCTAATGGCAAAGTAGGATGACATAGTGCACAGAATATCTTGTGGGCAATTTTTGTTTTGGAGTTTAAAGGTTGTTCCTTTTTAAGATTGTCTTTCAACTAACTACAATGATAGAACATGTAAACCAAAGGTGCAATCAGAAAATAAAATTGTGAAAGATTACAGAAAAGATGAGAGAAGTGATGAAGTGTGAAGGTAAAAAAACAGGACAGTGATGGCTGAGGGGGAAGGCAAACTCCACCTTTTCCTGGAGTACGGGAGACAGCCTACTGGGAAGAGAAAAAAGTTAAAGGGCACAAGAGTGCAGCACTGCTGGAAGTTACTGAATGAGAAGTTATTTAATGCAGAGTGGTAGGTTACTTGCAAATGAAGCAAGGAATGGCAGAATAGTAACAAACTATTGTAGAGACATCAGAATTTCTCCAGTGACCTGAAAATTCAAAAAGAATCAAACAAAAAGTGGAAAGAAGATTATAGGTTTTAACGTGAATATAAAGGAACAGCTCAAGACCCTTAGGGATAAGATCAAAAAGCACAGTGACATAAAAGGAAACAAGATAAGGTTCACTAAATGCAGAAAGAAAGAAATCAAAACACAGGCTAGCTGCTTAACAGTGGAGAAGATTAAGAAAGACTCAAAAAGGATTGAAGTATTCAATAGTATCTGTTCTCAAGTCTTTCTGATAACAAAGAAACAAAATTGCATCTGTAGAAGCTCTCTGGAGTAAAATCTTTCATAAATTCATTTTTAACAGGGTAGAGGAAAAATATATTTAAGAATATGAAAATAAAGTAACTGATTTTTCACTAAGAAAATAACTCTACAAAACATAAGCTTTATTAGTTCCTGATCTCTAACTAAACAGAACTATCCCCTCAAATTTGCCTGTAATGTCCAAAATAAAAGCAAACCTTGCATTAAAAACAAAAAAATTAGACACTACAATATAGTTATAGTTGTTTCCACTCACATAACTATTCACTTAAAAGGACATATTAGTTCTCCATTTGCTCAATAGAATTTTTGAATTCTAAAATATCTAGAAGTTTAGATAAGTAGCAGCTTCTTGTTTTTCCTAAGAGCAGATCATATTTATTTCATTCTCTTAGGCCAGTTCCCTGTGCTGAGGAGTACATCTGGTGCAGGCAGCTCTGTTTGCAAGCTGCAGTTTGAGCTTTGGGGGGAAGCCTGAGACACAAGGCCATGAACTGCCAGCATCTGGTTAACAAAAGGCACAAATAGAAGTGGTGGCATCCAGGTGGATGGATTACAGATGATCGTTTAGTTAAAACACAGAGTCAGAGAGTAGATCAACTTTCTCAAAGTATAAAAAATATTTTTAATTTGGATTCTAGGAAAGAAAAATCTCCAGGACAGAAAGAACTTTCTGTGGACACTGTTCAAAGGTTTTGATATTTTATTGTAATTTTCTGTTTTGGTAAATCATGTTATCAACAATAGATGGTGATGGTCTACATGTGCTTGATCCGATCTCAGGCTACATCTTATTTTGGCCACATCTACTCCTCTGTTTCAGCCACTCAATACCATAAATATTCTTCGTGCAGTGAGGAAAGGTCACATTTTCTCTTGCAGCATTAGTCATCTTTTTATTTTGCACTGTTATATCTTCACTTTTTAAGGCTCAATGGAAACAATAAGACTGTGGTGGAGGAATCACGTAAACCTCCCTCATCTTACATGCCTATTATGGAACTACAATGGTTACACATAAAACATACTTTGTTTTCTTTATGTGGCCATATAAAGAAATTTATATAGATCCATAATCTGAACAGAGAATAACAAAAGGGTTTGTACATTTTCATACTGAGAAGTGTAAATATATTTCTTAAAATTGCTCTTTAATTTCTTAACTGATTGAAGAATCTTTTGCACAAAGAGAGAACTCAGATTTGTTCTGAAACTACTTCAAAGAACATATTTGCTAGGGAAAATGGTAGGAAGATTTCATCTCTGTAGGTATGATATCTTAAGATTAGTGAAAGAGTTCTGATTTGATAAGGATACTTGAGTAGAAATACTAAGGATTTTCATTTTTTTCACCATCAGTTACATACTTAGCAGCTCAGAAAGAGAGATTGGTTTGAATCATATTTAGATAAATCCACAACAGCACAGGTGCTGTCAAGGCAAAGAAAGGAGACCTGAATCCTTATTCCATAGCTGGGCACCAAAATCTTGCATTTTTGGCCTTCATGATAAGTCACCTGCATTCACCTAACACCAACAGTATTCTGCCACTGTTCCCTGTTTCACACCTGCTAATATTTTGACCTCATACTTTTTATTTGCATATTTCAAGTCCTTCACAGAAGGACTGTTTTTACCTTTGGGCCTGAAGCAGCAATTCTGTCTGACTGAGAGGCCTAAGATTACACTAGAAAAGTATCTATATCTTACAGTATGTGTTGAAGTCAAAATCCACCCTTCATTGTTTTCCTATTAAAAAAAAAACTCAAAAAATGAAGAAAAAAAAACAGCCAAAGAAAACCAAAAATAACCATACCAAACTTCGTCCCATATAATTAACCACTCCAGAAAAAACAAACAAACAAAAAACCAAAACAAAAAGAAAAACCAAAAAAACCCTAACCAATCAAAAAACAAAACCCTCCAAAAAGCCCACAAAAAACTCCCAAGAAACAGAAGGGAGGCATGTTTAAATATCTCTACTTTCTTAGGTTTTAATGTGAGACTGGGACTGAGCCTGTTTCCAGTACAGCTTTCAAGGTGACCTCAAGAATAACTATCATAACGTCTATTGGCCACTTTTATTCAGATAATTTACCCAGGCTGACACTTCTCTATGCAATCAGAACATTATTTTACAAGGACACTCTTAAACCCACCAGAAATCCCCCAAGATTTATAGCATATTATCAGACATTGATTTATTCTTCTCATCATTTTCTCTGCAACTGGATAAAAATGAGAATAATAATTTAAGGTGATGTTTTATATAGGATTAAAATTTACTACCTTTAAAAATATTATCATTGAGCATGCAAAAACGGGGGCAAGTTTATGCATAGAACAGAGACAACAGTTTAAGCAAGGAAAATTTTGAGTCTGGCATACATGCAGTGCAGAATAATTCACTGCATGACAGTCGGTAGAACTCCATCTTTACAAAAAAGTAGTTTTCTGAAACTCATATTTACACTTTTGCATGTTAGGCAACAACAAGACAGTCTCTGCTGGATGAGGATTACCAGCTAATTAATAATTGCTCAATACTTTCTTTTTTTTCCCCCCAGTCCAGCAATGTGAAACCAGCTAAAATACAGTGGATATGGTCCTGTTTCGCAGCTAATTCTAATCTACCTCTAAATAACTCAGGCTGCATCTGGTACAAGCTGATCTTTTGTCTCTCAAAGGGAGACACTATACTTCTCTTCAGAAAAACACAAGATAAAAGAAACAACTATCTGTTGCTGTTCCTCTTCT